CGATGTCATTTCGAATTTATTCCCGTAGGCAGCGATCCTGTCGACTAGCTGATATATTTCTATTCTAGATGTGTGAAAAAGAATTAGCAGTCGTTTGTGGCTGTCTCGACCTCAATCATCATCTCTTTATTTTTCAAATCTTTTAAAACAAAACAAAAATTTACATACTCCATTTAGTTAAATCTTCAGTAAAAACAAAAAATATTTACATTCCATCATTCAAAATGTATCATATATATATAATTATTACTAGAATTTTCAACTATTTTATTTTTATATAACTACGTTGCCATTTTTCGAATATATTTTTATATAAGTTGCATGATAAGGAGATGTATTTTTCATAATTTATCCACCTTATTCCAGTACAATGTCACATTTGTGCTTTTTTCACATTGTTTAGCGTCCTCACGCACTTCTGGCCTTAACTATCAGTTTCATGATTTTTCAGGATGCCTGAATGACCAGTTTTTTGGAAGTTGAGGTACAGCTTGCTCCACGCTGACGAGGGCCAACAGCCCAAAACGCGTACGTGGTTAGCTTTTCTTGATTAATCAAGAATGGGTATTTGGCCAATTCTGGAATAATTAAAAATCAACGAATAGTTGATATTTTTTTCCGATAGATGACGCAAGCCATCGGCAACTTTCATTTGCACGATAAGGAAATGCCTTTTTCTTAATATATATATATATGATTTTTATTTAATTTGACAATTATAATTTCTAAAGCAAACTACTCTTTTGAAGCGACCGCCAGACGTCGCCACTTTCCCTATATATAACCTATTGTTGTTGTTTCCCGTTGGCCGACTCAAACCTTTTGTAATTATGTAAATAAGTCTATTGTTTTCTCCATTCTTCACGCCTTAAGTCAGGTAGTACTTTTATCAAATTACGTATTTATGTTCCATAAGCTTAATTAAAGCTATTTCTGATCTAAACTATTTTTATCATTATTACCAGACTGCAATATCAATTTAAATACTCGTGTATACCAACCTCAAGCAAATGACCAATAATTCCTCTACAAGCATATAAAATATTATCTCAATAATATTCAAAAAACAGCTGAAAATATTTTATTTTAATGTATAATATATATATTCTAGCTACACAACTCTTACGCAAATATTCTTTTAATACTTAAATTAATTAAAAATCATAATTCTCACATATATCAAATATATATCATTTTGATATATATCAAAACATATTAAACAATTGACAATTCAAACAATCTGATTGATTCTTCTAATCAATTGTTACAAACATATTAGATTTTGCTGAGAGAATCGATTGTCATGACACCAGCTGATGATTATTCACGGAATATATTCCAACCGTAATCACACCGAATATTTATTTCCACAAAGAATCTTTTCTATTAGCAATTTTTAAAAATCAACGTTCAATTCATTCAAATTTTTTAAAATTTTATTTTAAATTCTAGGATCCCCATTATCAATCACTGTAATATTAGCAAAGAAATATAGAAAAAAGTTCAATTTTTCAATAACTAAGATTATTGATTTAATGTTCTATTCATTTTATATATATCTCTTTAGAATCATTAGTGATTTGGAAGAATTCAATATAGTTGGCTGTTATACACTCATGGACAAAACTTTAAAAAGTTGTACCTTTTAGTATTTATATCGGTATTAAGACAATAATTCTGAAAGATATTTGATACACACAGTGACCTTTATCAAAGACATACGAGATAACCAAGTGAGAACAAAATTGGCTCTGTCGCCTTCAAAAAAATGACGACTGGCGACATCCACTTCCTTAGGTTTTGTGAGTGTATTTTCTTGTGGGAGAGACTAGCCGAGTTTATAAAAGAAATACAGTAGAACCTCCCTGTAAAGGACACCTAATTGCAGAGCCAAAGTGTCCTTTGTAGAGAGGTGTCCTCTTACCGGAGAGTTGCTAAATAGTCTTCTTCTTTCTTATCTCAAAGCCATAATCATGGTGGGTAGTTAGCGACTGCCTTTACTGTAAGTGCACCACATGTCTACACATGTGAAAAGCAGTTCGACTTTGCACTTACAAATGTGCCAGAGCCCCGTTTGGTTACTTGCACTCGCTGGTGGGGTTGGACTTTTGCAAGAAACGGGGGCCATTGGAGCATTTTTTTTTTAACAGAAAAAAAGTGTCCAATGCGGGAATCGAACCCGGGTCGTAGTGATCGAAAACCAAACGGTTTAATCAGCCTTCCACCGACCCCCCTAAATAGCAAGAATGGTAATTTTACAAATGAAAACTGTCCTTTATAGAGAGGTGTGCTCTAGAGCGAGTGTCCTCTCATGGAGGTTCTACTGTAGTTGCTGCAATGTTATAACAGGTAGATCTCCAATCTAGACTTACCTGAAGACATTGCCATACTGCAGCTTGAGTCTGTGTAGAGTCTCGTGAGGCTGGCTCCCCAGGAAGGGTAAGAACCCCACAATGGGTGGACAGTAAGGTCCGGGGGGTAGAGGTCGTCCCTGGGAAGACTTGTGGGACCTGGACGACAGAAGAAAGACAAGCAGAAGTCCAACGGCCAGAGAGGTCAGGAAGATCGTGGTCGGCTCCATCGCTGTCACCGCTAGAAGTGATGGCGGCGCTAGTGGCGTTATTAACCCGGCCACCCTGTCCTCTTTTTATTTATTTTTTATGATTGGCCGTTTCATCAGTCGTGCAGCTGATTCTTCGGTTCGGTCTTTAATCCGAATTAGATGGCGCTCTGCCATCTGTGAAGCACATATGCTCCTGGTCAGGATATGCTTTCTTTATTTTTAATACGAGTATTTTATTATATACAGTAGAACTTGGATAATTCGAATGTCTTCAATTCGAAAAATTCTTTAATTCGAATATTTATCTTGGTCCCTAAAATTTCCTATAAGTAGAATTTCCGTTTTTAATTAAAATATTTGGATAATTCGATTTTTTTTTTACCCGTGGCTTCGAATTATCCAAGTTCGACTGTATATATTATATGATCTATATAAAAATTCAAATATTTTGTTTTTAAAAACATATTTTATTTTAATTCATTGAATATTCTACATTTTTGTGACCACAAACACAGTTTTGGAATATGTCACTTTTATAATTGTTGTAAATATGTATAGAGTTAACTCACACCTTTTTTAAAATTCACAAATATAGAATTAATTTTATAAATTCTACATAACTGTGAAAATATTTAGTACATAATTTTCTCCAAGTAATTGAGAATAAAAAAAAAACTACAAGGGTCACTCCAAAGGTTTTACAATCAATATTAAATTATAAAAATATAAATTAAACCATTTAAATATACATGCATATTTTACCTAACATAAACATTTTCATAAAATAGTAACAACAATGATCATAGAGGACGTTACTTTGTTTACAGCGTCAGCGGTAATTTCTAAACACTGCATCAGACACAATGGAGTTGACTAGAGAAAGTTTACGCGCCATGATCTTTTATGATTATAAAAGTAATTTAACTTCTAACGAATCCCATGAAAGATTGATGAAAGCTTTAGGAGATAAATCTCCTTCTATTAGAACAGTTTTAAGTTGGTTTAGTGAATTTAAATGTGGAAAAACCAACCTTGAAGATGAACCTCGTTCAGGTCGACCACCAACAGCATTGACCCAAGAAAAAATTGATGGAAAAAAGTTTTTTTACTTAGAGAAGATCGAAGAATTACGTATCAGTAGTTATAGAAAAGTGTGGGCATTGAGTCCTTCTCAACTATGCCCCACACGTAATAGTCCAGCGGATTGACATCTGGTGAGCTGGGGACCAAACGTTAAGTGTGACATGGTCGTGAGGATTCTCGGCCATCCATTCTTGGGTTGTTCTGGCTGTATGAGATGTTGCTGAGTCATGTTGATAAACATACGGCCTTCCACTTGCTACAGTAGCGATCCAAGACTTGACAACGGTATTGACTCTGGAACCTGGAGTAAAAAAATGTAGAGGCATCCCATCACCTTAACTACTAACAACTCCAAGAACCATCAACGATGCTGGAGATTTGGTATGAATGACCGTAGGTGCTTCAACAGGGATTTTACATAGCCACCGATCATTTTTCAGTTCACCTTCTGGTCTCCTTAGCAAAGTTCTTCTCGTCTAAAAAAATATCATTCCTTAGGATGTTTGAGCTTGCACAGAAGGTGTTTGGCTCTGGTTAAGCGGTTTGTTTACCCTGGTTCTTTCGGACATGAACTGTCCTCTTTGCATTACGTATGATTTGTAACGGAGGTTCTCATGAACCACACGTCAGATGGTAGCCTCATCAACCTGAAGCCCTCTGGCGAGTGTCCTCATCGACTTCCCAGGGTCCTCATCGACGGCAGCTTGGACACATCTTATAAAGTCTGGCGTCCTGATACTGTCAGAACGTAAACAACACCCTTCCTCCACATCACCCTTTACAGCTTCCAATTCTCTCCGAACTTTGAAAACAAAAGATTGGGCGACTTTCAAGAATGCAGCAGTTTCTGAATCCTACAGCCAAGGAGACAATAACTGCATGTCTCTTCATTTCTTGAGTAAGAGTAGGTTCTGCCATATCTACCCCTGCAATAGAAAAATAATACTGTTACTATAACACACAGGAAAGTGTGGCACATATATTGTGTATTCACAAATAGCTGCTACACCCTGTATATTTTTGTTTCTTTTCTTGTAAAGAGAAGATTTCATATAGCATTTATATCTTATATATAGCAATGATAATATTGCAATGCTTATAACTTTAATTCGCAGTAAAATATTATGATAGAGGTTTCAAATGGATAAAGATCATCTCCCCTAAGATAAGTTTACTTGAGCGTAGTTTCTCCCTTAACATAACAAAACATCACTTGAAGTTACACCGCATGAGTTTCTTTTAAACGACAAATTAAAATTTTATTTCAAGGTGAAATATCGACTATTTCTAACCTTTTTGGATGAGGTAAGAAAGGATAAATTATGAAGAGTAATGATGAACGGAAAAATAAAAGTGTCCAGGGATGGGAATCGAACCCACAATGTTCCGCTTACCGGGCAGATGCCATGTCCACTAGGCTGTCCGGTAAGCGGAACATTGTGGGTTCGATTCCCATCCCTGGACACTTTTATTTTTCCGTTCATCATTACTCTTCATAATTCATCATTTCATACCTCATCCAAAAAGGTTAGAAATAGTCGATATTTCACCTTGAAATAAAATTTTAATTTGTCGTTGAAAAGAAACTCATGCGGTGAAACTTCAAGTGTCGTTTTACAATTACAGGCCGCAGTGTATTATATTGTATAATAAGTTACTTTATGTATCATTTACGAACGGAAAAATACGTCCGGGTAGCCTAGTGGACATGGCATCTGCCCGGTAAGCGGAACATTGTGGGTTCGATTCCAATCCCTGGACACTTTAATTTTTCCGTTCATCATTACTCTTCATAATTCATTCTTTCATACCTCATCCTAAAAGGTTAGAAATAGTCGATATTTCACCTTGAAATAAAATTTTATTTTGTCGTTGAAAAGAAACTCATGCGGTGAAACTTCAAGTGTCGTTTTACAATTACAGGCCGCAGTGTATTATATTGTATAACAAAACATCAACATTCATTTTCATAAATATTTTATGATCAATGCAATCATATATATATTTTTTTCTATCATCATTTTTAATGCATTAAAACCTCCCTGTAAAGGATACCTAATTGCAGAGCCAAAGTGTCCTTTAGGGAGAGGTGTCTTCTTACTAGAGAGTTGCTAAATAGTAAAAATGTTAATTTTGCAAATGAAAACTGTCCTTTGTGGAGAGGTGTCCTCTAGCGGAATGTCCGCTAAAGGGAGGTTCTACTGTATATGAAGAAATAATATATCAATAAATATTTTGTTAGCCATCTCTCTCTTAAGAAGAGGTGAATATATAAATTATATTGAAAAACCAAGGTAGAGAAACAATTCCTTCTTATAAATCTTCTTATATATAAAAGTCAATGTCTGTTTCGCGATAAACTCAAAAACTACTGAACCAATTGGTACCAAATTTTGCATGTCGCATTTTATAAACCTAAGGAAAATTTCGGCTATATTTTGATTAGTATTTTTGGCTATTTATTTTTCATTTGAAGAACTTTTTGTTTACGCGGAATAAATACGTGGCGAAGTAACAACAACAGGCCAATTAAGCGACCAATGAGCGTTCTGCATTTTTTTTGTTCAAGTTGCTCGCGTACTTTTTTTTAAATACCTTTTTATACGAGCGTTACTTTTTTTTTTAAGTATTGAGAGAGAAATTTATATTAATAAGTTACGGTAAGTGCACACAATGCAATTTAAAAAAAAACTTTAAAAAATTAGCGTTACTGTATGTAAATAATGGCTTTAGTATTTTTTATTAATTTTTGTTCTGGCCTTTGTTTTTTTTATCTCTTTTAAAAAATCGTTTAAAATGCAGTCATTAGCAAACACACGTTTGCTTAATTTTCATGTGCTCTTTTATTTTTTACAGAAAAATATTTACATGCCAGTATTTTGGATTATTTTTATATAAACCTATTTTCTCTTACTGAGAAGATGGGCATCGCAGTCAAGATCCATCGCAGTCACTCACTCAACTCTGGCAATTTCAAGGGTTAATGCGCTAGGGCGGGTACCTCGGGGGTTGGGTGGAAAAGCTGCCATCTATTTAAACTATTTTGATATCGAAACGACTAATTGGATTGCAAAAATAATTAAATCAAATACCTAAGCACTAATATAATACAATTTTTGCCATCACACACACTTTTTTCCTGTGGTTTATGTGTTACTTCTGTATTGCTATTGTATGGCACTTCTACTATTTATTGTTGATGTAGTTTCAGTATAAAAGAAACTGCACTCGGGGGAATTCTCGGGCGAAGCCGGGTCATTCTATCTAGCATAATATGAAAATAATAATTTAAATAAGAATATTTTTTGAGAATTATATTTATTTAGTTTTTTTTTTATTTCAAATAAATTGTAACTTTTTTTGAGTGTAACAATGGAAACAAGTTTCCTATTTTCATAAAAATCTTAACATTTATAATTAATTGTGTAAATCTAAAGTTTTAAAGAATATGACTTCAAATTACAAAGATAACTAATATTTTGAATCTTTACTTTTTTTTAAATAAATGAAACAAAATTATTTTTAAAATCTTATAATTCATATTAAAAAATTTTTCAAGAAAAATATATTCATCAAAATATTATGATATTTTCTTTGAAAATTGACCACGTTAAACCCCGATTCTCAATAAAAACAATTAATTTTCTCTCTTTTGGTGTATAATGAAAAATAAGAAATAAAATTAACGTATTGAACAAAATCTAAAAAAATGAATAAATAAAAATCGGTGACAAGAGAGTTAATAAATGAAAAATATTTCGTTGAAGTTATAAAAAATATATGAAGAATTAATGATACAAATTTTGAAATCTACTTATATAATTGCCTTATTCTGTCTGTCTGTATGTCTGAAGCTCACGGATAGAATGCGCGCCCATTGGCTGCCGGCGAACACGTGTTATCAGCAGTGTGTTACATCCACCTGTCTATACAGGTCACCCTGTCTATAGCGGCCACTCTAGACACCCCTGTTATCAGCTGTGTGATACATCCACCTGTCTATACAGACCACCCTGTATATAGCGGCCATTCTAGATAACCCTGTTATCAGCTGTGTGATACATACACCTGTCTATACAGACCACCCTGTATATAGCGGCCATTCTAGACAACCCTGTTATCAGCTGTGCGATGCATCCACCTGTCTTTACAGACCACCCTGTCTATAGCGGCCACTCTAGACAACCCTGTTATCAGCTGTGTGATACATCCACCTGTCTATACAGACCACCCTGTCTATAGCGGTCACTCTAGGCAACCCTGTTATCATCAGTGTGTTACAATCACCTGTCTATACAGACCACCCTGTCTTTAGCGGTCACCTCAGGCAACCCTGTTATCAGCAGTGTGATACATACACCTGTCTATACAGACCACCCTGTCTATAGCGGCCACCCTAGACAACCCTGTTATCGGCTGTGTGATACATACACCTGTCTATAGCGGCCACTCTAGACAACCCTGTTATCAGCAGTGTGTTACATCCACCTGTCTATACAGACCACCCTGTCTATAGCGACCACTCTAGACAACCCTGTTATCAGCTGTGTGATACATCCACCTGTCTATACAGACCACCCTGTTATCATCAGTGTGTTACATTCACCTGTCTATACAGACCACCCTGTCTATAGCGGTCACTCTAGGCAACCCTGTCATCAGCAGTGTGATACATACACCTGTCTATACAGACCACCCTGTCTATAGCGGCCACCCTAGACAACCCTGTTATCGGCTGTGTGATACATACACCTGTCTATAGCGGCCACTCTAGACAACCCTGTTATCAGCTGTGTGATACATCCACCTGTCTATACAGACCACCCTGTCTATAGCGGTCACTTTAGGCAACCCTGTTATCATCAGTGTGTTACAATCACCTGTCTATACAGACCAACCTGTCTATAGCGGTCACTTCAGGCAACCCTGTTATCAGCAGTGTGATACATACACCTGTCTATACAGACTACCCTGTCTATAGCGGCCACCCTAGACAACCCTGTTATCGGCTGTGTGATACATACACCTGTCTATACAGACCACCCTGTCTATAGCGACCACCCAAGACAACGTTTCTAAAATATATTCGCACTCGGGTAAACCCCGGGCGTTGCCCGGGCCATTCGTCTAGTAATTCAATATTTGATGATAACGAGAAAATGTTGGCGCTCATTTAGAAGGAAGAAAGAAATAAAGAAAATATATCGAGACAATATTACAAACTTTATTTTGAATTTAAATGCCAATATTTGGAAGAATGAAGGTAAGAATTTCTATGTTCACTCTGACACACATATCCTTACCGAGAAATTCCAGGGTCATCCAACTCTTGTTTCAATAAGACACACACACTCTATCTAAACTATAAATCAATAAAGAGTACGAACTGAAAAAACAAAATTTACCAAGATAAATACTTACACAAAAATAAGTGGCGAAGAAAAAATCTATTATGAATCATTTGTATCAATCCATTTATATTGCTAATTATACAATTCGCACTATTTTTCCTAACGGAATTCCTACACAGTTTCATCCAAATTTTATAGTCACTCAATTTGTCACATCACACGGAAAATTCCAGAAATACTTACATAAAAGAGGTCTATCAGAAACATCAAATTTTTCCTGTGGAGAAACTGAACAAACTGCTCTTCACCTTATCTATGACTGTCCGAACTTTACAGAAGTGAGACATCGATTGTTCCCTGATCTGAATGATTTAACTCTTTTACATCAGCCACTTTGTTAATATAAATTTTATGAACTCTGTCGAATAATACATGTAAATTTGTAAATATTTAATTGTAAGTTCTAATTTGTTTGTTGTTTTGTTTCCTCTGTATAAGGCGCAAATATATCAATATCGCGCCTGGTTGATTAATAAATAAATAAATAAACTCTTGTTTCAATCTCCGATAGACACTCTGATGTCGCCTCTCTACTGATGATGGCCACAATCTTCTTGTCATCTGGACAGACCAAGCTGACTTTGATTCTTCTTCTTGATCCCCAAATCCTGATACAGCAATAGCCAGTCGGCCAGAAGTTGAATAAATATCACGTGATGAAAACTCGTCTAAATGATTGGTTGGATTGATAGGAATCAACATGACACCAGTTAAAAACTTCTTTTATCCTAATCTTATTGTGGCGAAGAAATATTTTATTATTTAATTTAATTATTCAATGGAATAATAAAATATTTCTTCGCCACAATAAGATTAGGATAAAAGAAGTTTTTAACTGGTGGCATGTTGATTTCTATCAATCCAACCAATCATTTAGACGAGTTACAAAGACGATATACAAAGACTTGATTTCTACACTTACATTATTAAAGATTTTTTAGACAACAAAAAAATAATTCTTGATTTAATGATAAACGTTCTTTCCTGATTTTTAATAAAAAATAAATAAAGCTTCCAGGG